CCCCCCCCCCCCCCCAAAAATCTGACCTTCCCTACTCCCCAGAGCCTGAGCCAGAGGGGTGGGGGGAGGCCACCCACACAACACTGGTGCCTGCCCTGCTAGCAGCTCCGCCAGGCCAAGACACTAGTGTGTGTGGCCCCTGGAGCAGCAGCCCTTAGTGTGGGAGAGCTGTTTGGCTTTGATAGCAGCTACCACTTTATAAAGCCCAGTGTATTTTCATGATAGGTTAAGTCTCAGATTTCCCATCCCCCCTGGCCTGGGTTGTTAAACAGGCCTGGTTTGACATCCTAGAAGTTTTCTATCTGCCTCTCCCAAGGTGCAGACAGAAGTGACAGTTTTTCACCTGATCTGGCCATAGAAAACAGCTTATAGATCTGACCAAATGCAAGTGCATAGCTGCACACAGCTTAAAAAATGACCGATTGGGTGAAAATCTGACCACGTATTGCATGAGGTGTCACATAAAGATGTTACAAAATGTAGTGGCTTCATAACTTGAGTCTGGGAGCCTTGTGCTTCCCTCTGTGGTGGCTGCTGAGTAGCTCTGAGTATTGTTACCCCTAGTGTGGCTAAGACCTGGTAAACTGAACTCTTCCCATAGATGGTGGTACAAAACCTTGTTAACTTCAGTGGAACAGGGTTTTGGCTCAAGTTCAAGGGACATATGAGGGGACTTATGAACAGAGAGGGTGGAGGAACTGAATTTATTTAATCTGGAGAAGAGAGGACTTGAGAGGGGATTTAATTGCAGCCTTCAGCTACTTGAAGGGTGGCTACAAAGAAGATGGAGCTAGACTGTTCTCAGTGGTGGCAGATGACAGAATGAGGAGCAATGGTCTCAAGTTGCAGCAAGGGAAGTTTAGGTTAGATAGTAGGAAAAAATGTTCTCACTAGGAGGGTAGTGAATTACTGGAACAGGTTACCCAGAGAGGTTGTGGAATCTCCATCCTTGGAGGTTTTTAAGACCCAGCTAGACAAAGCTTTGGCTGGGGTGATCTAGTTGGGGATGGTCCTGCTTTGAGCAGGGGGCTAGACTAGATGACCTCCTGAGGTCCCTTCCTACCCTAATTTTCTATGATTCTATGAGATCTCGTACAGGGCTTGTTCCAAGATCAGGGCCTAAATATGCCCTGCAGAGTGATTGCTAAGGTGTGTTACAAGCATGATTGTATCCTGGATTACAGATTTAACCACATTGATCATTCAAGTCCATTAACTGCTTAAATGAGATGGACTCCTCTCTTCTTGGGCCCATACTAGTCCCAGAGGTACAGGCCCTCTTACAGTTTGCCCCTTCCTAAATTATACATATCATTGTCTTTTTCAGTTTCACAGATACAAATGCAGTGGTCACCAGCACCTTAAACAAGAGGCCACCAAATGATGATTGCAGTATTGCGGAAATGGACTCCCTCAATAACCTCCCATCACCAGTCTTCCTTTCTTCCTCACTACACAACCAGGTCTAGGTTCCTTAGCTTCTGGGACCTCCAAGGTGCTCCTTGATGCCAGTTATGACTTTACAAAGTAGCTTGGTGTGTTGGGGGCCTATGTTGGTAAAATGACAGAAATTGTTGGGAGGCAGGTATGGAACTGGAAATGGCTTGTTTTTATCAGCTGAGTATGTTTCAGGTTGATGAAGGTTGAAGATATTCAGCTTAGGTTTTTCAGGTGCCCTTTTTAAATATAGGTGAGACCATGTCCCTTGCATATTTGTGGCCAGTCTTTTCTTGTCCTTCAAAAATGTTATGCTCACTATGCTGTTTTGCCTTGTGTTTGTGTCCTGCAGAGAATGTAGAAGACTGCAACATGGAAAAAAAATCCCATTATGTTAAGAAAGACCTGATCCTGAGAGAAATGCCTCCTGCCCTGGTGGTGATACTGCTTCTGGCGGTCCTGCTCCTGAACCTCCTCCTTTATCTGTACCTCAGTAGTTTTTATGTGTCCTCCAGCCATCTGGATTTGGACCCCAATCTCTGCCCCTCTGGGTACTTCAGACTAGGGCCTCTAAAAAATTGTTCGCCGTGGCTGTCTTGCGAAGCCATAGATAAAGAAGTCAGGAAGCTGAAATGTGTTGGTGAAGGAGCTGTAAAAAAGGTTAGTTTGTGTTTTTGTCAGAGGGATAGATTTCTGGGAGGAACAAAGCTTTGTGACTGGTTAATGCTTAGGCAGCTCCTGTTGTAGTAGTCTCTAGAAGCTCATTTTTACAGCCACACAGAATTTTGTGACTGTAGATGGCACTAGAGGTACACCGATACATTGGTCCCATATGAAATCGGCACTGCTTTGAGGAAAATTGAGAGTATTGGCAATCGGCTTTTTCTGTCTGATGTGGCCGATAAATGCCATGTGCATGCGCGCAGCCATGGCTCAGCATGCAGGTAGCTAAGAGTGCAGCCAGGTTCGGCTGATAAGTCTGTTTTGGGGGAAGGGACAATGGGCGAGGGGAGGGCTTAGGCTGGAGGGGCAGATCGAGACCTCCGCAGGGAGGGAGTGGGGCTGGGGAAGATGTTGCCCAGCTGGGACAGGGTAGGGCACAGGATGGAGCTCATCTGGGGGGCGCAGGGCAGGGGGCAGCTCCCTCCACTGCTTACACCAGGTGGGGGTGAGAGAGGGGCATGTGCCCCCATATCTGCACGTGAGGCAGGGCAGGCTGCTGCTGCAGGCTGGAGCCAGGGCTGCACCAGGCTCTTCCTGGCAGGGGGCTGGGCTGGGCTAGGCTGGGCCCAGGCAGACAGCAGCACTGGATGGGAGGGTTGCCACCCTAAAATTCACTGTAGCCCTGCAGGGAAGAGCCCAACACAGCCCCCAGCCCTAGCCCGCAGCAGCAGCCCACCCTGCCTAATGCGCAGATGCAGGGGCACGTGCCCCCCATGCTCTCCCGGGGTGTGTGCAAGTGGCGGCCTCCCCGGATGTGCTGCAGCTCTGTCTCTCGTGCCCCGCCCTGGCTGTGCAGCGCCTGCTCCAGCCCCTGCCCCTACCCCACTCCCTCCCTCACCTTGGGTGCCTCAATCTTCCCCCCACCTTGCCCCTTCCCTCACCCCTTGCCCCACAACAGACTTACCAGCCAAACCCAGCTGCTCTTCATGCTGCAAGGCTGCATATCAGAAACGGATCAGTATCAGCCAATATCGCTCGTTAAAAATCACCCAAGAGTATCAGCCCCCAAAATCTCTGTTGGTGCACTCCTAGATGATACCCTACATTTGTAGCCTGCAGTAGCCCCTAAGTGGCCTAAAGGCAGGTAATAGGCCTGTGCGAAGTGGAAAGTATTTGCTTTGGATTCAGTGATTCGGAGGGGCAGTGATTCAATTCAGTGATTCAAATCGCTGTCCCAATTCAATTCGGCCAAATCTGAATCCGAAGATATTCAGCACCGAATCTTATTCAACCATAGACTAGACAAGCAGGCAGTGTCGGTTGGAGCAGCTGGGGGAGCAGCTGAACAAGCCCCAGCTTGAGCTGGCAGCCCCAGGAGAAACTGCTGCTCCCCCGACTGCCCCCGTACTGGGTCAAGGCAGCCAGTGCTGGCAGCCTTGATAGAAGCCACGGGAGCTGGGGGGATCGAACCGGGAGCTGAGGAATTGAATCAGAGGCTGGGGGAATGAACAGGGTCTTCCCCCCCAGCTCCCAGTTGAATCCCCCAACTCACCAATCATTCCCCACAGCTCCCCGATCATTTCCCCCAGCCCCCATGGCCTCTGCTGGCACTGCCTGCCTTGCCCTGGAGGTGGAGCAGCCAGACAAGCTGTGGCTTGAGGCGGCAGCCCCAGGAGAAGCCATGGGAGCTAGGGGGAATGATTGGGGAGCTGGACACTTATGGTTCTGGACTGACTCATGGATTTGAACTTGATTTGGCTTAAAACACGAAAAATTTCTTTAAAAAAAAACAAAAAACTGGGGGAACAATTGGGGAGCTGGGTAGAATTATCGGGAGCTCGGGGAACGAACAGGGGCTTCCCCCAGCTCCCCAATCATTCCCCCCAGCCCTCACAGCTTCTCCCAGGGCTGCCAGCACTGTCTGCCTCATGCCAGCGGGGGGGCAGCCAGGGGAGCAGCAGATGAGCCACAGCTTCTCGCAGGGCTCCAGGCTCAAACCGGGGCTCATAGGCTGCTCCCCCAGCTGCTCCCACCAGCACTGCCTAGAGCCTGCCTGTACAGTCTATGGATGAATCTCTCTGAATCAATTTGAATCAGCCAGGTCTAACCGCTCACATAGGTTCCTTGCTGAGATACAAGACTTCCACCTAACCCGGGAGGTGCACAGTCCCACCGGGGGGAATGCTCTGCTCGACCTGGTCCTGGCCACAGGCGGTGACTTGGTGAGGGGACTCCAGGTTCTCGACCACCTGGGCGATAGCGATCATCGCCTGCTGGAATTCAGTATCCAGCGCAGGGTGTCAAGGGCCTGCAGCAAGGCAGTAGTGGTGGACTTCAGGAGGGCCGACTTCAACGAGTTGAGGAGATTGGTAGGAGAGGCATTGGGGTTCCTGGAGAGTAGGGAAACTAGGTGTCCAAGGCGAGTGGTTGTTCCTTAAGGTGACAATCCTCTGAGCCCAAGGGGTGACAGTCCCAATGCGAGTCAAAGGGGGCAAGAGTGCTCAAAAGCCCCCTTGGCTCAGCAAAGGCATTCAGGAATGTGTGAAAGCCAAAAAGGAGTTAAACATCCAGTGGAGGGGGGTGCTATCACCAAAGAGGATTATACCTCCATAGCGCAAGTCTGTAGGGAGGGTGTTAGTAAGACTAAGGCGGAAATGGAACTAGGGCTAGCAACAAGGATCAAGACAACAAAAAGTCCTTTATTAAATACATAGGGAGTAAAAAGAAGGCACCAGGCAATGTGAGGCTCCTGCAGGATATGCTTGGCAATCTGGTGGTTGCACCAGATGAAAAAGCAGACCCTTTTAACAAATTCTTTGCCTCCATTTTTCTGAGCAGGGATCAGGACATCTCCCCCACTGCGATTCAGGATGGAGTCAGAAGTGACTCCACCAGGCCTCGGGTCAGGGAGGACCAAGTTAGGGAACTTCTGGAGGGGCTGGACATGTTCAAATCAGCAGGTCCACCCTAAGGTGCTGAGGGAATTGGCAGGGGTCATCGCGGGGCCCCTAGCATGGCTTTACGAGCACTCATGGTGCTCTGGTCAGGTGCCAGAAGACTAGAAGAAGGCCAGTGTGGTCCCCATTTTCAAAAAAGGGAGGAGGAAGGACCCAGACAACTATCGGCCCATTAGTCTTACTTCGGTCCTGGGGAAGCTCTTTGAGAAAATTATCCAAGAGCACATCTGTGAGGGACCAGCAGGGTGGGGAGGATGCTCAAGGGCAACCAGCATGGATTCATTAAGGGCAGGTCCTGTCAGACCAACCTGATTGCCTTCTACGATCAGGTCACAAAATCATTGGATGCCAGTGTTGCGGTGGATGTAGTCTTTCTGGAATTCAGGAAGGCCTTTGACACTGTCTCCCACCCCATTCTCATTAAAAAGCTAGGTGACTGTGGCATTGATGCCTACACAGTCAGATGGAGAGCAAATTGGCTGAGGGGCCGCACTCAGAGAGTGGTGGTGGTAGACAGGTCATATTTGACCTGGAGGGATGTGAGCAGTGGAGTCCCCCAGGGCTTGGTCCTTGGGCCCACACTGTTCCATTTCTTTATTAGTGACTTGGACAAGGGGGTGAAAAGCACCCTGTTCAAATTCACCGATGACACCCAAGATTTGGGGCGAGGTGGGCACGCTAGAAGGGGGGGGACAGGATACAACTGGACCTGGACAGGTTACAAGTGTGGGTGAATGTGAATAGGATGGGATTCAGTACTAACAAGTGCAGGGTACTGCACTTGGGCAGAAAAAACTAGCAGCATACCTACAGGCTGGGGAACTCTCTGCTCGAAAGCACAGTGGCAGAAAGGGATCTTGGAGTCATTATCAATTCTAAAATGAACATGAGCTGCCAATGTAAGGACACAGTCAGCAAGGCTAACCGCGCCTTGTCATGCATCCATAGATGCATCACGATGAGGTCCAAGGAGGTGATCCTCTCCCTCTATGCGACACTGGTCAGGCCGCAGCTGGACTACTGCATCCAGTTCTGGGCACCGCACTTCAGGAGGGATGTGGACAGCATCAAGAGGGTCCAGAGGAGGGCCACTCGCATGATCAAGGGGCTGCAGGGCAGGCCCTACGAGGAGAGGCTACAGGACCTGAACCTGTTTAGCCTTCACAAGAGAAGGCTGAGAGGGGATCTAATGGCCGTCTATAAACTTACCAGGGGGGACCAGAGTGGAATGGGTGAGACCCTGTTCCCCCGAGCGCCTCCCGGAATAACGGACACAAGTTGATTGAGAGTAGGTTCAGGCTAGACATCAGGAGGCACTACTTCACAGTCAGGGCAGCCAGGATCTGGAACCAGCTTCCAAGGGAAGTGGTGCTGGCTTCTACCTTAGGGGTCTTTAAAAGGAGGCTTGATAACTACCTAGCTGGGGTCATATGAGCTTAAACTTACCAGGGGTCATATGAGCCCAGTATTCGTTCCTGCCCAGGGCAGGGGGTTGGACTTGATGATCTGCTAAGGTCCCCTCTGACCGTGCATCTATGAACCTATGGAGGCTTAATGGGTCTCCCAGTTCGATTCAGATTCGGAGATTTGGCTGCCGAATCGGGCCAAATCTCCTCCAAATCGAATCAGCTGCCAAAGTTTTGCACAGCCCTGGCAGGTAGAGCATTTGCTTGTATTTACTTCAGAAAAGTTTGGGTTAGAGAAAAATAAGCAAAGGAAATGAGCAAGTGTGAGAATGTTGTAGGCGAGAAGTTTTGAAGGCTCAAGAAGGACGGGTCAAAAGAAATTAGCTAAAGGTCACTTAGCATTTATTTAGTAGTTTTATGCCAGTTAGAGCTAGTGTAGGACAAGGTTAAAAATAGGCATATTAATTAGCCTTTTGGAAACATTCCTATATTTGCTAGTGTACTTAGTAAGCTTTTGAAATTTGACCAGGTAATAGCATATTAAAATCCAGGTCCACCTCGGGATTTTTGCTCCTCAGTTTTGCTGCATTGCTGATCTGCAGGCAAACCAAATTTAGAGTTTCTTAAAAACTTAGTTTTTGAAACCTAGGTAAGGCATTCTTGTTCCTAACAGGCTGTCCACTTGTTAGAGACTTTTTAAGACTTGTGGACTTCAAGAATTTGAGATTAACTTCTGTCAAAGATTAAAAAATATTATTATTCCTTTAGGTGAATGCACATTTTACCATTTTTAATTGTTTGCTTGATATGCCTTACCTGTCCTATGTGGTCATTTCTATCTTATCCAGATTTCATTGTAAATTTCTATTAAACTTTACTTAACCTCATTTACTTGAGTATTTAGTGTTGGGGGGGCAGGGTGAGCTGTTCAAATGTCCCTTGGTTCCCAGAATGCCTCTGGGAGTTGACACTCTGCACCAGTGCCATTGGAATCAGCATCTCTGCTTCCAGAATGCAATGCTACTTGACATGCGTAAGCATGGCAGCATAGGAAGCAGACTGAGTTTGCAATCCTCATGTTGGCATATGGAAGATACTCTCCTGTGATGGGAAAGGTGTTTGGTAATTTTTACCCTGGTGAATGCTACTGACTCCTGGAGGATAGAGACCTTGCCATCCTCTACAGCATTGGGATGTTAGCCACAGTTAAGGCTGAGGGTTTTTGACAGAAGTGTACTGATGTTCTTGCTGTTACTTAGGAAAACTAGAGGTTCCTGGCTAGGGGGTCTTACTTTTCTGTTCGGGGGCATACTTGATCATATTTGGGGTCAGGAAGAAATGGTCTTCCTAAGTTGGGTTGGCATGGACAGGGGAGGGAGGGTTGTTGCCTTTCTCTAGTGTGGGGGCCATAGTTATTTTCCTAGGATCTTCTGAGTATATATTAACCAACTACTTCCCAGTCATTGCAGTCTCAGGGCATATGCAGTACCTTCATCTCTGCTTTTACGTAGGAAATATTAAAAGATGTACTTGATGTTTTGGGTATTGTCCCTGGTAGTTGTGAGGGAGGGTTTGAAGCAACAATTTTGGGGATTTCTTGGATTAATGATTGTCTGAATGGAGGGGGACTGGACTTCAATGGCTCAAGAGGTCTCTATGCTCTTAAATTGTGTTTTGTGGGCAGTCAAATTAAATAGTTGCTTTGCATTTAATCCATGTCATATGCTCACAAAGGTCACTGAACCAGTCAGTGAATACTGCTATGCTGTAATTACAGTATCAGGAGTGAACAGGTAGTAACTCCACCATAACATATAGACGTACACGTGTTCACATAGTAGCCGTTAGCAGTCAGTGTCTAGTTTCTATTTATGGAACTTGTGCATATAATAGCACAGTGTCTAGTGAATCTATAACCTGCAATGCTATGTAGTCACTTGGAGGATAAATGTAAACTGGTCTATAGCAAAAGGCTTCCAGTGTTTTGTTCATTTCCTGTTTTGCTTTTAGGTCTTTCTTTCAGAGTGGAAGGAAAGCAAAGTTGCCCTTTCACAACTCACCAACTCGGAGCTGGAGAACGACTTTCTCCATGGACTGAAGATGCTAAAAGCTCTACAGAGCAAGCATGTTGTGAAATTGCTTGGCTATTGCAAAAAGCAGTACACGATCCTAACGGAGTATCACCCACTAGGCTCCCTGAAGAGTCTGAACGAAACATTGGACCTCCCCAAGTACAAGGGCTTGAATACATGGCATCATAGATTCATACTTGCCATAGACTACGTGAGAATCCTTCACTATTTGCACGACAGTCCCTTGGGCACCTTAGTGATGTGCGATTCCAACGACCTGGATAAGGTGCTGTCACAATATTTGCTGACGAGTGACTTTCATATCGTGGTGAATGATTTGGATGCCTTGCCTCTTGTGAACCGGAGTGCTGGCAGACTGGTAAAGTGTGGTCATCGGGAACTCCAGGGTGAGTTTGTAGCTCCTGAACAGCTTTGGCCATATGGGGAGGAAGTGCCATTTGATGATGACCTCATGCCTCCATATGATGAGAAAACAGACATATGGAAAATTCCTGACGTCTCCAATTTCTTGTTGGGGCATATTGAAGGCAGTGATATTGTCAGGCTGCATTTGTTTGACATCCACATGGAGTGCAAGAAGAGGAACCCAGTGGAAAGGCCTTCTGCCCAAATAGTTCTGGACACATACAGAAAAATTTTGACATCCCTGATCAGAGAAGTCGCCATGCCTGGAACAAGAGAAATGTTGTAAACAATTGTGAGAGAGGGGCTTCTGCAGAGCTTTGGCCCTGTGGGGAGGAGGTGCCATTGGATGATGATGTCATGTGTCAGTATTATGAGAACACTGACATGGGAAATTCCTGATGTCTCCAATTCTGTGGACTTACTGTGGTTGACATCCCTTTTATTTATTTAGCACCAAAAATGTACAGAGTGACAAAGGGTCATAAGGATCCTGTCCCAGAGAACTAAGGAGACAAAACCAACACTAAAAGGGTTGAAAAAATGGCAAGGTGGTTTTGTGACTATTTTTGGATTTTTTTAACCAAAAGCCCAGTATGGGAGAGTTCTCAGCACTACTACTTTTTTTCCATTATGTCACCAAAAAAAGGTTGGGGTGGGAGGGAGGGGAGGAGAGACGAGGTACAATGCAAAGGAGAAGGGTTTTTTGGTTTTAAAAAGCCAAATGTATTTTGTTTTTCCATCCAAAAATTAGAAAATGTCTTTATAAAACACATTCCATTCAAATGTTTTGTTCTTTCTTTGGAGTTTTTTAAGAAAAGGCCTGTTTTCATTGAAAAATTGTTTAAATGAAAAATTTTGACCAATTCTAACTTACCTGCACTCCCTCATAGAGTTAAAACAGCAGCTGGTCAGAAAAGAGTGCACATCCTAAGTTGCTCGGTTGTAGCAATGGGCTGAAGCCTGACTTAATGGCTGCCCAGTTCTTTATTGGACTGTGCAGACCTTATTGTTGGTTTTCTGGGGAGGAGGCTGAGCGAGCTGCTGTGTATGGGGCCCCTGTTATTGGGGCAGAATCCTGTACTGACGACTACCCTGATGTCTGCAGCATGAGCATCTCTTGCTTCCTTGCCTGGGAGGTGAATGTAGGAGCAAAGGCGTGGCTGTTTCCTGACTGTTGAAGCCCTCACTGCCCAAAATAGCTACTGTTGACTTCTTCCCTCCAGTTTTAGGGAAGCAGAGTTATTTCTGAGTCGAGCAGAGGAAAATTTGGTAGCACATAAGTTTTGTCCCTATGCCCTATCACCGTCATATTTATTCAGCTCCTACCATTATTTTGACACATTACAGAGATACAAACAGTACAGAGCCCTCCTCCAAGAAGATTACACTCCAAGCAGGCAACTCCCAGACAGAGGAAGGGAAGATGCATTGCCTTGATTTTCAAAGCCTGGCCCTTTTCTCCTGATGCATTCTCATATGGGCTTATGAAGGCAAGGACCTACAAATTCAGACACTCTCTTTCTTCACTCCTGTTCAGAAAACCCCCTCTCCTGCCTTCACTGTTGAAATGAGGGACTCGCTCTTCCCATTCACCTTTCCATGATAGCAGTGTCCTTATGACTCAATGGAAAAATGTTAATAATCGTAGGAAAAAGATTCTCTTTAGAACGTGAGAACTGCCATTTATTGTGTCAGACCGTTGGTCCATCTTGCTCAGTATCCTGTGTCACACAATGGCAGAGAGTGAGTGCTGAAAGGAAGAGTGGGTAATATCAGGGTTTTTTCACCTGTTCCTCTCCCACATGCAGCTTCCAGCATTTAAAGCCTACGAAGTTCTGATTGGACCCTTAAATGGCATAAATAAAGGAAGAGCTGCAGAATGCAAGGCCTCCTGTATTTGGAAGATAAAGTTCTTGTGGGGATGCCCCAAGGTCCAGTGAAGCTGACAGTCCTTTGGCTTCACTGATCTCGAGCTAAAGCTATTAGGATGCCTATACATGAACATCAAGCTTCAGTTAAATTGCCCCCAACACCATTTTTAAGCACAGGGGCACTGATACACGGGATGCTCCAAGTGCTTGAATTAGAATGGCTCTCTGAACCGCTCTAAGTAAAGTGCCCCCTTTCCCCAGCCCCCACAACTCCCAGAGCACATTTACAAATACCCTTAGTTCCTGGACATCTTGGGAATAAACCTGAGAGAAATATCTGTAAAAAGAACAGAGAACAAGAATGCCTTATTCCAGCAACAAAGCTTATTTTTTATATACACTTGTGCTCTGCCCTCTCTGCCTCAGTGGGCCTGTTGAATATGTGCACAGTATTCATGACAGAGATTAACTTTGTAGTTACATATATTAACTACAGAAAAGTAAATCATGCTGTCTTGAAAACCTTGGAGTCTGCTAGTGGCCACTGCCATTGTGTTCATCTCCAAAGCAACCTATTGCATTGGAGATGCATGGTGTACTTCTCTTGGAGACAAACTTTTGTTCTTTCTTGTTCTGCACACGGATGGTTGATTTGGTATGGGAAGAGAATCCTGTGCCCTCTGAAGGAGTTGCTCTGAGTGTGATTGTTAGTGAACTGCTTGCTTCTCAGACAAAAAATGTTTTCCAAGCAGTTAAAGGCTTTAAAAAAGGAAGCAGCAAGACTGTATTTGTAGCATTTTTGGTTGTCATTCTCCTTGTTGTTTTCAGTTTAGCATTAAGCTTTAGAAATCCAAAATCTGCCTGTCCTAGAGTACTATGCTTTATAGTTTCTCACCCAGCAGAGTTAAATACCAGAGGAGATATTTTCTATGCAGATACACGTATTGTATTATACTGCTACCCTGGCACATGTTTTCCTTCAAATGCATATGTTACAGCTCTTCACAATTTGTGTCCTTATGTGTCTGTATAGGACATTTACCATGTGGTTTTCACGTCTCTGATTATCCATGGCCCATTCAACTTACTACATTTTACAAATTTTGTTATATAACCCCTTTTTCTGCCCCAGTGACTCCCCTTTCTGGCAGCCTCACTGCTCCACCCATCAGGAAGCATAAGGCAAAGATCATAAGCCAATATATTCTAAAAGGCCAAGCAATTTTTGGATGCTTTGGATCCTAAAACCCCTTAAGGAATGTCAAAAAGAGTGATTTCATGTCGTTCATTTCCATGGGAGAGCTCTCAAGGTATGACGCTACTCAATGAGCACGTCTACACGTGATGCTACGGCGATGTAGCAATGCACTACAGCAACATAGGTTCAGCAGACACAAACATGATGCTGCAGCTACATGACCGTTGTGATGTGCTCCTTCATTATAGTGCATTGCTATGGTGATGTAGCAATTAAAAATAACCATGTGCCATCAGAACAGTGCAGTAATAGGTGTTACTGCACTGTTATTTAGTACTTCGTAAAGGAAGTAGTAAGTGACAGCACAGTGACAACAGTGCCATAGGGGCATGTGTAGATGTGCCTAGTGTGAGGAAAGTTGCCAGAATCATCTTCATTTGAATGTGCTGATCACAGTGAGTCATTTTCATTTTAGCCCTGCATGAAAGACAGCTGGAAAAACATTCTGCTGCAGGGAGTAAAAGCCAGACACCATGTTTTAAAGAGACAACAGCCAGCCTATATTGACTGCACAAGTCCCTCAGTAAAGAACAGATCCTACTCTGCTTGCTTGTTCCAAAGCATTATACCTTTCAAGCAGCCATGCTTGGAACAAATGAACAAGGACAAACTGTAGCCCTGAGAAAAAATAATCTTACCGTGGAAACCTCGATCTTCATTCGTGGAGGAAGGTATTCATTTTGATGGGACAGCTTTCAGGGTGAGATGCTACTCAGACTGAGGAAAGTTACCAGAAGTGTTCCCTTATTATATGCATTGATCAGAGTGAAGCAGTGTTCAGTAAGGTCATTAAAGTTTCTCTTTTTGTTTGCAGCTTAAATATAAGGTGTCTCCCTTGCAGTGCTCACAGCCATCCTGCTCACAGAATCCACACGCACATCTTCTCCACTCCCTCCCACCAGACCTTAGTGTTCTTCTGCCACTGACTGGCATGAGACACTTTCATGTGCAGTGGACTGTTTTACTGTGCATTAGTGCATCACAGCAAAAACCATGCTAATGTGCCATAGAATTAGTCTACTGTGCGTTGTGTCACAAAAAAATATTCACCTTTGCTACTGCGCATTAGCGCAGCTACTGTGCCTTTATCTAGTACCATATATTAGTGGTACTAAACTTAATGTGCAGTAGCAAAGGTGCATTAATGAATGTGTAGACACTCCCACTGTTACCTGAATTTGAGCTCCAGGATAAATTAAGCCAGTTCTGGAGGTAGTATTGTAGTTAAATGTTAGTGTTTGATTTGGAATGTTATTCTGCATGGAAACATGAGGTGGCAGCATCAAATTCCACTTCTACAGTCTGGAGTTACACAATGACTGAATGAGGAATGACTCCCCACCTTTTTCCTCGCCTTCCCCCCACCCTCTGCACATCTAACACTGTACGTAGTTTGCATGCAAACTTCCTGATACTCCCTTAGCAGGGATTAGTAGAAGCTTTCATTACAGTGTGTAATTATAATCACATGGGGCAGACTTCAATATCTAAATTGCTGCAGTGGGGAAATTTTGAATGATGAGTGTAATTGTATAATTGACATGTTTCTGCCTGGGAACCCCGCTCTCAGTACATAATAATCTGTTAACTTCGACTTGTCACATTGACCTCTTTACTGTAATCCTCTGAGCTCTGAAAAAATGCAGAACCCATGCCCTGGCTAAGCCTAATTATTAGGAAAAGGGACTGGTGAATGTGCTGCTGAACACAGGGTCTATGAAAAATTGCTCAGCAATAGGATGGTATCTTCCTGTGAGTATAGCTGGCATCCATGCACTGTGCTGCTACCACAGGACTTTACTCTTCAGTCTTCTGTTATTCTAAGGTTTATCATCCAGAACTTAATCAGGATAGTATTTTGGGTGTAATTACTGGTATGTTACCTTTAATGGTTCAAGGATTCCTACATGCAGTTTAGCTCCACCTTACTCAAAATCAGAAGAGGTAACCAACATTCAGATGGCTACAGCCAGGAAAATGTGTAGGGACAATTCTTTACCTAAGCTTGCCTTCTTCCCAACAGATATACCAGACATGGAGAATGCCTATTTGCTTCAGGGTGAAGTGTTCTGCCATCTTTGATCATATGAGCTGGCCTGCTAAGTATTGGCTTTGTTTCTACAGGGAGGCAACTGCCCAATAGATACAAAGAACAGAGGAGAGAATCACTGTGGCAATATCATCTCGGTTCAGGAGACCTTGGGTTACAGAGCACTGGTCATCTCAGGTGGGTTGTTCTCTGTCAGCCCCCAGCTCATGGTGTTTAGGGTGTGTCAATGGAGAGTGGAAGGGAGATAATTGTAGGGTGGGGTGGGGGATTCCCAATGAGCTGTGTCTGTTTCCTTTCCCCTCACAGAAGCATTCCAGGAATAGAGTGCAAGAACCTTCTCCAGTGTGTCTGCCCAGATTGGCTGGCAAGGTATGTGGAGCCATGCTTGTAGCTGCCTGCAGGTTTTTGCATAGCTACAGGTTGGTACTGGGTTGTTGATGGCAATGGATTTTCATCGGGTACTGTGTGAACAACCCTGATAGCTGCCAGTAATCTTTACTGGTAATTCTCAACTAGTTTGCCAAGGCACCCTGGGATGCTGTGAGATCCTTTTAAGGGTGCTGTAGGGCGCCATGCATTAGCACTGTTAGGTGTGCAAACACCTATATAATTCACAAGATAAACTCAGAGATTTCAAATGGGAATCCATAGTGCCATAAATATTCTGCCCTGTTATGGTCTTTCTGAATTCTTTGACAGAAGTATTTATTATTGTTCCATAGTCAAAAACTGAGTGAAAACTAAAAGCTGGTATTTTCCTTGTTTGGTCCAAGAGTGCTCAACCCTTGGCTTGTGGGCCTGATTCAGCCCCTGGCACCATGCCATCCAGCCCACAGGGATTCTCACAGGTTTCTGGGGAGCCCTAGGGGCTGTGGCTCTGTGCAACAGATTGAGCATGCAGGGCAGCTCAGGGACTGATCCTGAGGTGCAGGGACTGGGCTGGGACAGTGCAGAGGCCCTGGAGCCTGATCCCAGCGGGGCAGAGGCAGCATGGGTCCCAATTTGGTCCACGGACCAGCCCAACAACTTTCATTTTGCCCCCTAGGGTCAAAAGCATGAGCACCACTGGTTTAACTGGGGTGCCTTGATCCTAAAAAGGTTGAACATCACTGATCTACATACTTGATTGAAAACTTGAACTGAAAGGCACTACCTGTGCTCAGTGGCACATCAGGTTTTATATGCATACACAAGAATGGGCTTGGTCTCATTTAATTAATTAGAGGTGTTGCATCAGATTAAGTAGTTTAAAGTTCATGTTCTTCCGTATCTAAGGGAGCAGGAACTACTCACCTTTATCAAAAGTTTACAACACTAAACTAACTTGATAACATTTTGTAAGTTAGATCTAAAGCAATGTTTTCTTCTTGTAATTACAGCAAAGCCAACTGCAGATTATTATCTCTCTGAAATAGAGGCTGTGTTGTTTTAGGGATATAATTACTATGTTTGGCAAAATTTGCAATTGTACACAGAACCTGTCTTTATGGTCAAAATGTCTTACCAAGGGCTAGGACCCATGGGAATGAGAAAGCTTGAGACAAAAACCATCTCTTTCTTTACATGGAATAAATCATACATTTGTGGTTGTCATCACAACAGATTATATGTTATGTGGTGCATTTAAGTGGGAAAAAGGACTTTATGGTTTGAGTCTAATTGAAATACCAAACATTTGGGATGACCACATAATTCTGAATAAACATCACTGTGTTCTGGTATCTATAATCCAATATTCATCAGGATGAAACTGTGGGTATATTTGTATTACAGTGATACTTAAAAATAATGCTTGGGGATTCCCACAAATAGTTTAGCTCTGGGTTACTCAAAACCAATAAAAAGTGCAACACAAAAGGGACTTTTGATACATTTATTTCAAATAAAGTTTTGTAAAGACTTTGGTCAAGATTTTTGAGACTCAGAGCTTAATGCTATGCTCCAAACTCTGTATTTTGAACATCTAAATATGAAACTGAATTTTCCAAACTGCTGAAAATCCAGCAGTCCCCAATGAAGTCAGTGAGAGGTGGTGGGTGCTCCATACTTTTGAATATTGGGTTATTTGCTTTTGGAGTTCATGGACCCCATGCACAAAGAACATAAGCATATGTGTAATCGCCCATGCCATTCACCAGCATGCCTTGTTCATTTGGGCTTTTCAGACTTCACAGTCACTTGGGTAACAAACAGCTTGTTGCTGGATTAGATTTCAGAAGGTCCTCAGGGGTTCTTACCTGCCACGTCTTGCTGGAATAAATGTGGTATGTCCCACCTTTTATGGCACCTTCCTTCAATCTTCCCATCCGTCTTCCTGTTTGGGGCTCTGCCTCCCTTACACCCCACCTAATGCCAACCAAAGATGTTATATCCCAGTCTTCTAGGCCTGGTCTGGTATAGGTTTTTTTATCTTGGCCTTTCAGATTATACTAGTTACGTTCAGACATTGTCTCATCTGGTTTTCCTTAGGCCATATTGGAACTGGCCTAGACTCTTTCCTGACCCTGGGTTACCTTGCTTCCCAGTGTATTTTCCCCTATCTCTAGTTTGTACTTGCCACGGTTCAGGCGTCCATCTCTCCTTTTCTCCTTAGGTTCCTGGTTGGTCCAATCCTGTCCAGAGATGTCTGGAATCCACAGCACTGTCTCAGGTAGGTAGTTTAGCCCTTTTGGGCTCAGCTCATTTTCAGAGGCCCCTTCCTGGGGCTGCCACCACTTCCCCTCACTGGGGCTCTGCTCCAGTCTGGACCACTCTGGGCCTACCAGGGAACCCACTTCTGGTCCCTCTTCTCTCCCTTCTATCAGGCATTTTATCCCTACTTCAAGGGGCCGGCCAGTGAATCAGTGCCAGCATGCTGCCATAAAGTATGCCTATGCCAGCATGGGAGCCAGACCCATTGCTCTTTTTTTTCCTTCCGGTGCAGCATATTTCCCTGCTGCAGCTTTTCTCCCACCACACTTCTGGTTTTGCGCAGTATCCCACTGGCTCCTCTCATCTTCCTCTTCGGGTAAGTTTCTCTCTGTGGCCTTGTGCCTGCCACAATATGCTTAACTTTTCAAGTGAGTGAGACTTGAGAGCATGCCTCAAGCATGCACTTAAGTGCTTTCTTGAATCAGTGTCTAAATAGAGAGCAAGGAGCCTAACTTTAGACTCCTACTTTGATAGCATGGGCCCTTGGTTTCAGTAAATCATGCTGCCTCATGTTTCCTTCTTTAGGGCCTGCTCCTGAAAATGGCCAAGCGTGCCTGGCTGAATACTCCTCTCCTTCCTTGAAATGCAGTAGGAGTCACTGGGTGCTCTGCATCCCTAAAAATTGAATCACTTTAGACCAGAACCACACTAGGACTAGGGTCAGAAATTATACATAAACCAGTATAAGTGATCAGAAACTGATTCAAATCTGTAACACAACAGAAGTTCAGTGCACATAAACTACTTTCAACATGGCCAAAACTGGTTTAAGATTAACCTAGATGGATGTAGTATCAGGCTTAACTTATTTAAGTTAAACCAGTTTATTGAACTTCCATCCCAGATCCCCTCCAGATTCAAGTTAACTCACAGCTCCCCAGCATCTCGGGATGCTCTGCTTCCTCCCTTGTAGGCTAACCTTTGTCCAAGCTAGCTATCTGATCCAGCTGAGCAGGTAGGCATGCTGTAGCACCCTCCAGCTGTAGCATGAACTGAACTAATGTAGCTGATGTTAACATAAAGTGTAATAGTAGCAAAATGTAACCATGTTAGTTTTCTTCTGTAAGCAACTTGAAAACTCCATTTTGTATCCTTCTGCCTGACCTAAGTGAATGAACTCTGCATAGCATTTATGTATGTGTGTGTGTAAAAAGGTGAATGGTGAAAGAATGGAATAGAGACAGGAGAAGATTGAACTGTTTATGTAAGCAACAAGGAGCCAAATGTAAGTTACCAGTCAGTAAACTAAGTAATAAATGGCTGAAGAATCTCTTTTAGGCCTAGGGCACAAAGAAGATAACAAGGAGAAGGAATGCACCCATCCTGCCAGACGGGCAGCAAAAACACGCCAAGGTTGAGTGAGATAAGCTGAAGACAAAAGAAGAACAACTGAAAAAACAGAAGCTGGGTATGGAAAAACTCCAAAGCACTGAAACAAAGGATGCCAATCCCTATAAAAGAACACTTTGAAAATGCCAAGTTGGGTGAGTCTCTTTCTCTACTGCTGTTTCATCAGAGCACAGATGCATCTGTTCACTCCACTCCAGCTGCTATGTTCAAATCTGCTTTCTTCAAATCATCATCATCTACTCAATAAGCCTGGGTTAGCCACCCTGGGCTGATACTGAGCAACTATTGCTGGTAACTATATCTGGTGTATGTGTGAGTGAAATAGTTGTCTTGTATGTGTAGGCCTGTGTGTAATGATGTGTATGATGATTTGTGTGTGTTTGTATGAATGGTGTGTCCAAACCTCTATGTCTAACTCATGTAATCAATAAACACAGCACCTTGCCTTATCCGCCTTTATAAAGTCTCACTCATGATTTGAGCAATAGGTTAATTTGTTAACACAACTCCTGGTGTGGGCAACTGCAGGCATGGGGCTGCACTTCCAGAATCAAAAATGAATGCCTGTTCACTTGCTAACCTGTTCAGTCAAGTCATCTTAGACTAGCCTGCAGTGATTGAATTGATTTGGACTTGTGTTTTGTGACTGCTTGTACTTAGTAGGAGATCTTTGCCAGAATAGTTACACCTGTTATGCTACATCATTATCATTAATTATTAGCACTGAGGCACTCCATTCGTGGGCTTTTTGTTCTGTGTTTGGCTTAGATGGAAGCAGTCCTCAGGAAACAGTGCTCTGCTATATGTCATCAGATTGAGAAGTTAAGAAGGTTTGGCAATACACAATAAGCATTGTGCAAACAGAGTTATGTTACTCATTTTGATCAATGCAGCTTGCTAGGATGTCAGGGGTTTTGCAGGTTGATCCAATTCAGAGAAGAGACTGGCACTGAAATCAGGTTTTCCTTTGATGTAATCTTGTGTCTTCCCAAGGAATGTGCGAAGTCCTGTTTCCCTAAATGCAGGATAAATGAACAGGAGAGCGCTTCTTTGCTCACAGCTCCCAGACTCCTTCAGCCAAAACCTAACCCATAGTCTTTCTCTTTTTCTGGGTTTTTACTTCAGTTCATACTATCTGCATTTTGTATCCACATCTGGCTCCTCGTTTGTTCTTTCTATCTGTAAACTGTACAGAAACAGTCTCTTCTGCTTTTCCCTCTTACACGCATCTCTTAGAACAATACTAAGCAAAGCCCTCAACCCATATAGTTCTAATTCCAAGGTAGCCTCATGTATGCCTTCACTTTGGGAGAGGGAGGGGAGAAGAGGGTTTGTACTACACCTATATTTTGGTTTGAACATTCCTATTTCTTGCATTTAACCTGAATGAAAGGCAGCTTTTACACTCACCAGTATCACTGAGGTGGAACCCAACCTGTAACACTTTCCATGGTGAGCACATGCTGGCAGCAGTACACCAGGGGTCAACAAGCTGAATCTGGCTCACAAAGCTATTTTATCTGGCCCATGGACCTGAAGAGCTCCGGTGGTATTTGGTGGTTGGGGGCTTTGCCTGCACAGCAGTTGGGTGGTGGGAACAACCAGCAGCAGCTGCACTGCAAGGAGGAGCAGTGGATCCGGTGTCAGTGGTGGCATCACAGGCTAGGTTGGAAATAGTACATGCTTGGAACTAAGTTTTGTTAAAGTTTTTGCTGCAAAATGTTGCCAACTCCAGTAGGACAGCATTTCCTTGAGACAGCAAGCAACATTAGGACCCCATTGTGCTAGGTGCTGTATAAACATAAACTAAGAAAAACCTTGCCCTAAGTCCAAGACAATCTAAGTAAATAATAGGAAAGGCAAAAAGCAAGAGAAAGGCACCAGTATTATACTGTGTACAGATGACAGTATCACCAACCCCAAGAATTCAGAAGTCATGATTCATGTACCCTGCAAATCATGAGACTGATTTAAAATCATGAGATTCAATATAACAGCAAAACATATGGGGTTTTCATACATCTTCATTACCACTAACCACTAGGATACCCTCAGGTCATATGTTCAAACTTTTCTCCACAACCAAGACGGCTAAAAATGTCTTCTACAATTAAAAGCTAAAATGCTTGTGTATTCACTTTACTCCAGGAGATGGAACACTATGAAATATACCAAATATCACATGACCTGAAATGCAATTACAACAGTTCATCATTATGAGGTGGAGAACTCAGACACAGTGAGTTTAATTGATTTGCCGGAAGGCTGTAGTTTAGCTGAGAACTCAGATTTTCTTTACGCTTTGTTTGAAGGTGAAATCTCAAGGTGGTCCATAAAACAAGTTCGGTTTGAAGTCCTTTCCCAACAACATGCCTAAATAAGTAGAGGAGAAAAGTGTCTTTGGCTAAATGCTGCCTTTTTCATTGATACCTCTACCCCCTAATCTCTACATACAGCTCACGGGCAGGCACCATCTGTCACTGAAAGCCTCCCCAGATAACCCAGGTCATATATGGTCCTTGTTCCTCTACACAGGGAAAGCAGGAGTGAGCAAGGTGCCTGGAACTTAGTATAACAAAATAATACCATCAACACACAGAGCCCACCATCACACTCTTCTCTTGAAGCTTTCAGCCTCCAGGCTCTCAACCCCTGTGAAATGCTCTAACTTCCTCCCCTAGAAATAACAATTGCCAGCCCACAAGTGCCTTGACCTCAATGGGAAAAAGGATTCGTGTTCCATGTAATTACCATATAGCTCCCACAGAGACATGGCATTCAACAGAGGGTCCCAGACCAAAATGAAACAACCAACATGTGTAACACCCAGTGGCATAAGCTTCTAGGCTAGACTCCATTTAAGTGCTGCTGAACCTTGTGCATGGGGCCACTCTGCTATAACAAGTGGATGACAGGTGAAGCTAGGGGAAGGATATGCTCAAATAGGCATCCCAGGTCTCAACATGCTCCACCCCATTCCTAGGCGGACAGTTATATGTGACTTTTGCTAGGGGAAGCTACCTTTGCTAATTACATAGGGGTTTTTTTGACAGTTGAGCTAGTTCAAAAGAGCCACAACAGGGTATTAAGGGCCTGAACCTGTGGAGGGGACTAGTCAAAGGATGTGACGATCCTGCTGTCATTCAGTGTTGCCAAAGAGGGAAGAGGGATTTTGCTTCATCTCATAGACTTGAGGACAGCTTTCCCAGTGTTCTAACAAAAAGGTATTTCTTGTTTCCTCTGTCCCACCAGCAAAATAATTGTGTTGCTACCTGCACAGTTGTGCGTGTGAGGTGGGGATGATCTGGGTTATATCTTTTCTTGCATTTTGGCTGTCAGAGTGAGGGAGTAAAACTCTGAAGGAGATGAACATTGCATATCATTACCTGAACCCAAAAGTCAACAGTGGACAAAGCAGCAGTGCAGTTAAACGAATCAGTTGAATGGTAAGTTATGTTTGAGTCTGGTGAATTGTGTTATCTACCACCTTGTCCCACTGACTTCCTGTATGACCTTAGATCAGGTCACTCCACTTTTCTTTTCTCATGTTTCACTTTCCTGTGTACTTAGGTTACAAACTCATGGGGCAGGGAATGTCTCTTGCTGTATGTTTGTACAGCCCCTAGCATATCAGGTCCCTGGTCCCAATGATAACCTGTAGCTGCTGGTGAACCACAGTTCAGAGCAAAAACAATTCTATTTTTTTCCTTTCTGTCTCTCTTTCCAAATCACAAAAATCTCTTCTTGGCAAGCTGGTCAGTCTGGAGATTTCATCATGCCGCTAAAAAGAAAACATGGAACCCACAGAGCACTGCAACTGAGTGAGAAATTGTTTAAATTCCCTGAGAATCAGAATCTAATTAACTGTTTGAAAGAATGTTTGCTAGGTGGTGAACTCCTCTCCACCCTAAATGGTTTGCACAGCTCTCTCACTGGCTGTTATAATGATTTAATGAAATGGGATTATATCTAATTGGTACTCTAAAGCTCTCATTTCCCATGTCATAAGGGGAATATGCTTTTTCCCATGATACAAATGCCACAGCTTTATTATAATAAGGAGCTTTGTGATGGTTATTCTGAGAGACTTTAGTTTTGTCTTGTCTCATACTCCATTAGCACCTGATCTGCAGCTTACTTGGGAGTCTTTAGAAACAGGCAAGGAAATCAGTGGAAGTCTTTTAGACTTGTCAGTGTAGATTAAGCATGTGCTTAAGACTGGTCCTAAATAAGGATGGACAAGTGTAACTGTTCCTGAACAGAGCCCTGAATGCAGACCTTGTCATAGTTGTGCAGGTTTCTGTCAGCTCCACACTAGATTACAATGTTATTGATTGGTGCAAAATGCAACTACCTGTTGGCAGCTTCCATTGACTTTAATGGTGCTGGGTCAGACTGACTGTGGCCATGCCTATACCAGGAGTTCTTTACTGGTGTAAGAATACTCACATGCTATACCAGCAAAGCACTCCTAGCATGGACTCAGTTTATACCAGCAAAACTGTGCTTGGTACCAGTAGGGTAAAACTGCCAGATACCGCCTGCCCAGCAAACCCGACCATATGGGTATGAACATGGTTTTGCCAGTTTAACTGCTTGTGTTGGCACAGCTGTATTACTCAGGGATTTCACATCATGACACCCCAACTATCATTACTGTACCACTGAGGTAGACAGCTTTAGTGGAGATTTTTGCAGTGAGCTTGTTATATCTGTGCTCCAAGTTTTCCAATTTGGAGTTGAAGCCATGTCAGTGTTGGATTTTGGGTATTGTATTAACTGCCTCTTTCTCAATGGTTTACCCAGACAAATGAGAACAGCTGAGGTGCTTAAACTAATCGTTCCTACATGTGTACAACTGAGTGTTTTTGATGGAGGCTTTGACTCTGGAGGCTGCTTGCTTCCATGGTCTGATAGGGCTCAGACTGCCTATTTATTATCTTGATGTGGTATATTTATATCTCTTGCTGGGCTACAGGTGCCCATTTTGGTAGTTATGACTGTGTGCACCGTACCATACTGTATACCTCACACATGGAGCACTGCAGTTGAGTCACGACATTAAATTCCATGTGAAGCAGTGTTTAATTGTACAATCATAGAAAATTAGGGTTGGAAATGGACATCAAGAGGACAGCTAGTCTAACCCCCGGCTGAAAGCAAGACCATCTCCAAACTACATCATCCCAGACAAGGCTTTGTCTACCCAAGTCTTACAAACCTCCAAGGCTGGAGATTCCACCACCTCTCTGGGTAGCCTGTTCCAGTGCTTTACTACCTTCCTCATGAGAAAGTTTTTCCTAATATCTATTCTAAACTTCCCTTGCTGCAACTTGAGACCATTGCTCCTTGTTCTGTCATCTGCCACTACTGAGAACAGTCTAGCTCCATCCTCTTTGAAATGACCCTTCAGGGAGTTGAAGGCTGCTATTAAATCCCCTCTTTAGCCTTACTCAAATTGATAGATGTTTTGACACTGACTTCACTGAAGTCAGGATTTCTCCTTGATGTCTTTCCTCTGCTCTGTTAGTCTTTTCAGAGAGTTGGTATGGTATATTTCAGCATCATGCTTACCCAACAACCAAGCGAACCACATAAACCAGATGACATGCTGAATTTTTAATACTTTGAATGCCATAGAAGAACTTTACCTACTTGATCCTGTTGTTTAACATGCCTGAGGCTTAGGGTGATAGGTGCTGCAAGAGAAGTGCCATAAAATATGTCCACAAACTTTTGCTTCACCACATCAAGATAACCTGTTAAAGAATAAATCCATACTGAGGAGGTAAATGTAAGCTGTAAACTGCAATCACTGGAGGAAACATCATATACTGGGTCAGATGTGCAGCTGGGGGAAGTTGGCATCACTTCACCGAGGTGGATAGAACATGACAGGTTTATGCCAGCTAAAGTGGAGTTCTATTGTCTTTTTGTCTGGGTATATCTAGCAAACTTTAAAGGCTTCTGCAACAACCAGAACAAGACTATATATAAATAGAAAACTGCTTTGCCAGTGTGACTTCTCACTTTGTTATTTTTGTCCCTTTGGTCCAGACACCTACCCAGTATTCAGGATTTTTCAGGTTTGCTTCCAGAAGGAAGAAAAATGGATGGTATAAGTCTGGTATTCTTTGGTGCAGTCCTGGTTGAAGGCACACACAGCCCACCTTGACCACAATTCTGTCCCTCTCATCATAAAATCATAGAAAATGAAGGTTGGAAGGGAACTCAGGAGGACATCTAGTCCAACCCCCTGCTCAAAGCAGGACCATCCCCAGATATCATCCCAGCCAAGGCTTTGTTTAGCTAGGTCTTAAAAACCTCCAAGGATGGGGATTCCACCACCTCTCTAGGTAACCTGTTCCGGCATTTTACTATCCCCCTAGTGAGAAAGTTCTTCCTAATATCTCCCTAATATCTAACCTAAACTTCCCTTGCTGCAACTTGAGACCATTGCTCCTTGTTCTGTCATCTGCCACCACTGAGAACAGTCTAGCTCCATCCTTTTTGGAACCACCCTTTAGAGAGTTGCAGATGGCTATTAAGTCCCCTCTGGGATTTAATAGGCTATTAATAGGCTACTTGGCTATTACTAGGCTACTTGGCTGTTAAGTCCCCTCTGGGTCAGTGTCTCTACATGAGACACTGACTGTGCAGTACCCAGATACTACTGCATAGTAGTGTTACATGGCAAAAACCATGCTGAGATGTTAGTATTAGGCTACTGCGCAGTAGCACCACTTAAAAGACATTTGCCAGCACTACTGTGCAGTAACTCCAGTTACTTTGTATTTATTTAGTATTTGCTTATACAAGTATTAAATAAATGTGCAGTAACCACTGCACAGTAGTGTCTTGTGTAGACATGCCCTCTCAGTCTTCTCTTCTCCAGACTAAATAAGCCCAGTTCTCTCAGCCTCCCCTCACAAGTCATGAGTTCCAGCCTCTGAACCATTTCGTTGCCTTCTGCTGGACTCTCTCCAATTTGTCCACATCCCTTCTGTAGTGGGAGGCCCAAAACTGGACACTACTCCAGATGTGGCTTCACCAGTGCTGAATAGAGGGGAATAATCACTTCCCTCAATCTGCTGGCAACTTTCCTACTAATGCAGCCCAGTATGCTGTCAACCTTGTTGACAATAAGGGTTGTGACACTTTGCAACCCTTAATGGCTCCAGTGAAATGTTTGCGAGGTAGCTAATTGCCCTGGGAGAGTTACAGCGTGCAGGGTGTGACCATGTGTCCGCATCAGTGAAATCTAACGATGCCCCCCTGCTGCTCTTTAACCTCTGGTCCTGGTGCTGGGCAGCTGATATTCACTCCTGTGGTGCAAAGGCTACATCTGGTGGAAGGGCTCCCCATCCTCCCCCACTTCCCCCAGGGACTGTAAACATCAATGGCCAGTTTGTCAGTTTTTATCCTGATACTATAATAGAATCGCAGAAAATGGGAAGAGGTTGGAAGGGACCTCAGGAGGTCATCTAGTCCAACCTGCTGCTCAGAGCAGGACCAGCCCCAATGAAACCATCCCAGCCAAACTGTGGAGCCCACCCCCTCCTTGTCTGGGTCACTGATGCCAGGGCTGCCCATTCCCCTGATCTGTACCTAAATCCCCAGCTCCTGGAATCTGGTGACTGTGCAATGATCTTGGTTTTCACTGAGGAAAAATGGAGGGTCCCCTCTCCCCCAACAGTCGCTCAGTCCTGAGGGCTGCAGACAAAAGGCAAAGCAGTGTTTAAGTCAGGTCTTAAATATGAAATTGTATTGGAAACTCCAAATGGTCAAATTTGCTGGAAAAAAAAGATTGTACGCTGTAAAAAAGTATGGAAATAAGTATACAAATAAGTCATCTTCTTATTGTTATATTGCTCACTGTAACTCCCAGTGAGTGAGAAGTGGGTCATGACTCATCAAAGTGGAAGCATTTCTTTATTTTGAGGCAAGCTGTCCTAAGAAAGTACTGGCAGCAAACCCAACAATCAGTTAAGGCTCCCTGAGAGTGACTGGGCGTTTTGCATCTGTTGCATCAATAAGCTGCCTCAAAAATGAGAGTTTGTTTTCACGGATGTGGTAGCTGTGTTGGTCTGAGACAAAAAGAAATGCAAAAGTCCACAACTCTTGGTTCCAAAATGATACCTTTTATAAGACCAACTGAGAAATTGCAAATTATATGTGTGTGTGTGTGTGTGTATTTAATTTTTTTTTGCAGAAAGATATTTTTTGTGATTTTTCAGTTGATCTAATAAAAAGTATCTGTTCATTTTCAACACGTTCACTATGCCTGACGGTAGCCACACAAGAGTTGAAGTGGTCGTACAAGTACGATAATTACGGTAAGACGGGAGCAAACCCTGGCGGGACTCCAAAGCCCTGGGCCCCACAAGGCGAAGCCCCGCCCCCTTCACGCCCTCTGTCACTAGGCAACGCTCTGACGCCCTCTTCGGCTAGCTGCCGCTCCCCCAGCGAGCGCGCACAGAACACACGCCTCAGCTCAACGCGCTCCCCTCCCTGCTCAGGCTATTGCCGGAAGTGACATTAGTGCA